GCCGGCCGTGAAAGCCTTCGACAATACATTTTTTTAAATTGTTTCTGAAAAAATATGTGTATAGGTTTGTAGTCCCAAATTACTTAATTGATGCTGAAAATAAACTTCAGCCTGCTGGCTTACCAGAAGTAGTGTGCTTCTGAGTGATAGGCAGAGATATAGATGTTGATGCTAGATGAAGGAAAATAGAAAAATAGAGTTACATGATAATTTCAGTTTTCAATTTTGAGAGTCTTACAATTAATATTTAAATGTATCGGTTCAATTGAGGTTTCACATAATATGATTATTAAGGGAGGCCTCAGTTATACTCATTCCACATGTAGCGTTTCCTATGATGACAAGAACAGTGTTGGCTGAGTTTGGCACATTTTGGCCAGCTTGCTCAAACATAAACAAAACCCAGTTTTACCTCAACCCTGTCTATACTATACAGTGCAAACTAGGATCTCTAATCCAGTGACCATCTTCCAAGGTAGCATTCTAATTCTCCCATGTCCAGGTAGGATATATGATGGGCCAACCATAGTGAGAAATGAGAGAGTGTCCCTTCTGAAATACTGCGCTTCCAACCTACAGAGGATCTGTATCATATAAAGGTAGCAAGTTTGGCAGGGAAATGGAACAAATGATTACAAATTATAGGTAAATGACCAAAAACAAAACAAAACCCCACTAGAAGTAGATAATTTGGGTCTCTTGGTCACATTAAGAGTTGAGTTTCAAGTTAGAAAACAAAGAAATTTGTGGTTGGGTGGAGTTGATGAGATCAAAAAAGGGAAGAGAGAAGTTTAAAGAACAAAAAGCAATATATGAATCCATAAATGGATGTGATGGAAGCCGGAATGGTCTGTAATGATAGAAAGTTCAGGAAACTATATTTCATTTCCTTTTCCCTTATCTTCTGCCTCAAATGTATTTTGCTAAGTAGCTCTTAACTGTTCTTTGCTTTGCGTATCATTGCTTACCCTAAAAGGGAATACCATGATGGAGATATATGTATATATGTCTGTTCAGTAATTAGAAAGATGTTTTTCCAATTTCACAGAATGTTATCCAATATTTAATTATAATTATTCAAATCCACTAATGAGGAGATTGGTTCATCTACTGACCCGGAGTAGTTGGATGCTGCGTGCTTACAGGAGGAACAGGTGTAGTATTTGGATACTGAGTACTTAGTACCTGAACTGGTAATAAATAGAGAAAATATAATTTAACATTACATTAGAAAATAATTTTAAATACAAAAATGTGAGATTATTTTAGGGAGTACACCAGAGAAACTTCTAAAATAAAAGAATCTTGAAAAATGCATTTGCTCAAATAAAACAGCAGATTGGAGGCTCTACAACTGCAGCATGTTAAAGAAACAAAAGAACACGTGCGTGTGCAATGTTTGCACTAAAATGCATAGATCAAGCTAATTAGAAAATTATCCAACTGTAAATACCTGGCACTTCTGATGTATTTTCTGTGGGAGCTACAGAAACCAAAAGAAAAGAAATAGCTGAGTTTCACAAATGAAGAAAGGAAAGAAAAACAGACACAAGAATTAAGCTGATATTTTAATCGCTTCTCTGCAGAATAATTTTAATCCATTTTTTATTCTATGGAATATTCTGCAAGCCTATCAAAATAAGAAGTATAATTTAGACTATATGATTTTGGTTTTAATTATCATTGCTGAATGCATGTGACAAATTATTCTTATTTTACCATTATTTATATACAGCATACACAGGGCCTTCACAGTGAAACTTTAGCAAGCTAATTTTCCCAGCAGGGTGATAAAAACAGGAATTAAAAAGTAATGATTCAATGATTCAAGCAATGATTTCAGTGAAAATAAATCCAAAGCAGAGCACATAAGTTTCACAGAATAGTTGACATTTTACATATTACTGAATAGCATTATTCAGGTTTCAGTATTCCCTGAACTGTGTTATCTATACCATGATATATTCTTCTATGCAAAATAACAGATCATTTCTCAAAATAGGTACTCCTTGCAAAGAAAACCAATACTTACCAAGTGTAATAGGATTCTTTGTCATAGGGGAAACTCTTTCTATGAAAAAAAAAACAAGAAATATAGAAAGTAAGCTCTTCGTCTGAGTGATAGGGAAACATTCATCATAATTACTAAGAAGGCTACTATGAAATCATTTTATAATAACAAAAAGGGGGGTGGTTACCTGCGCAGATGACACCAGCATCTTCCTTGTGGTGACACTCACGAGCTCCCCAGCCTGAATGGGAGCACTCTTCTATAGATGATTCATTTCCTTTGCACTGGACATTATCTAGGAAGATGTTGCCAGTGCCTTCTCCAAAATAGGCTTCTTTGGGGGCTTCCATAGCTTCTCCACAGGCAAGTTGTCTGCATACAACCTCTGCATCTTGTAAGTCCCAACCATCATCACAGACTGTTCCCCAGTTTCCACTGTAAAAGATTTCAAGTCGACCCTGGCACCTGTTTTCTCCATTCATCAACCTTACAGTCAAAGAGCTTGCTGATGTTGCCAGTTCAACTTCTGTGATTGTTGAGAGAGTATAAACAGTAGGTTTTTTCCAATCATACATTGACTCTTTTAGGAATCATTTTAAAAGGGCATATCAGTATTTACCAATTGGATTTTTTTTCTCAGATAAGATTTCGTGTCTCTGTGTGTGTGTATGTGTGTACAACTCGAGATATTCTGACCTGTGTTCCCCTTCAGGTAAATGGGGTTGAATGGACTTAAGAAGATACTGATTTAAAGCTGGCCACAACTGCTCTCTAGTCTACAAATCTTTGGCTTTTCCTTGGATCGTTCAGAAATAATTCTGTATATTTGAGAAATAACTTTGAGCTTTATTTCCCCTGCATACCAGAGATGAAAATCTTGTTATTCTATACATCATCAGGTAACCAAAGATGAACATTTTGAGGTCTCTACCTCTTTTCAGATTGATTAGGTTATCTTGGTTAAATTAAACTCAGTGTCCTTGTCTTTGGTTAGAAGCTGTAATGAGCTGTGAAAATAACCTTGAGAGATGGGAGGAAGAGCCGTAGCCTAGAAAACGGTCTGATAAGACAAATCTCAGTCCATAGGACAGATGGGGGTGGAGAAAGCATCTCAGAATTGACCCTCCCTAGTTTTCTGGAATGTCAAGGAAGGGGAAGAGGGAAGTGCTTTCAGACTTGCAATATTCTCTTACTGTATCCTTACAATAAAGGTAGTATTAGTATTTTGATTTTGGTTTCCTGGTCTAGACTACCTTAAAGGGCTGACAGAAGAAGCCAAGAGGATTGGGACAAGTCTGTTGCATGCCCCCTATCCCTGCTGTTTCTTCAACACAGGTATCCCTTCAAAAGTAGTATGAAAACAGAAGCAGAACTACTGATATGGTGCTCTAGCACTTAGTAACTATTAGAAACCAAAGAAAATTTGCCAAGGAAATGGAATGGAAGCTGAATTTCCCCATCCTGCCATCTTGCCCCCAGTCAAAATGTTTTCTCTTGCTGCTGCTTTTTGTTTTAAATGAATATATCAGAAAATAAAGCCAGGGGCTTACACATGGTATCTACTGTCACCTATGTTCCCAAAGAAACTTCTCTTGATCTCTACCAGCCCCCTTGCTTCAGTCAAACTTTGAAAACTTAAAAAAAAAAAAAGTTTAATTTGAAATCATACTTTAAAAAAGGCATCACCTAATTTTTATTTGTAATAGTGACATTGGATTCCCCATTATAATCCCCCAGACATTTTTAGAAAATTAGGGAATGCCTGGAACCCAGGGCTTTTTTTGCAAATGTGCTAATCTGCCCCCCTGAAAAGTCAAAATTAGGTGGGGATTATAAACTTGGATGGCTAAAAAGGGTGGCTGAATGCAATCTCCCTGTTTACTTTCTGAGAAATAGGTGTGTTATAAGTGCCACAAGTACTGTGACAAGCAGTCTGGGAATCAGCACCTCCACCATCAAGCAGCAGTTTTTGATTTTGGACATCCATAATATGTTCACAAAATGTAAAATGTCCCCACTGGCCCAGGAAGTTTGGGGATGTTGCATCACATATTTTCCAGATCACATCTTGTTTGTCCCTCTGGTATATTCCTTGGATGTACAAACCACAGACTTTGCAAGCCCTCCTTCCAGTGAAAATAAAGAAAAGAAAGTTGGTGATAATTTATCTCTGTTCTGGTAAAGACTTCACTAGCTCTATTTCTCCTTAAAATATGATGCAAGATTTGGTTTTAAGTAACAATAGGAATTTAAGAAAATACATACCAGGTATTTCTGTGGTGACAGCAGGGCCTGAAAATAGAAGAAATAGCTTCTGTGTGGGTGATGATGATGATGATGATGATGAAGTTACATTATATTTCTATGATTATTATATTTCTTTTATATTTCTTATATTCTTCTTTAGTTTGATATCATAAAGTAAAATGAAAAACAATATGGCAAACCTGGCTTAAAGTATTGGAACACGTGCCTGACACTACAGGTAGTCCTCACTTACCTATCCCAATTGGGACTGGCAACTCAATCGCTAAGCAGCATGGTTGTTAAGTGTGATGTCACATGACCACACTGACTTATGTCAGTTCTGGCTGCAGTTGTTAAGCAAATCATGCATGGTCATTAAGCACAGCATCACATGACCATGACTTGAGACTTCCTGCTGGCTTTCCCATTAACTTTGTTTGTGGGAAGCCAGCTGTGAAGGTCACAAATGGCAATCACATGACTGCAGGACACTGTGACTATTATAAATGTGTGCTGGTTACCAAGTGCTTAAATCGTGATCACATGACTGCGGGGGACCTGTCATAAGTTTCTTTTTTTCAGTGCCATTGTAAATTTGAACTGTCATTGAACAAGTGTTGGTAAACGAGGACTACCCATAAACCAGCCTATTCAAGGTGGTCAATGCAATGTAGCATTCCAAACAAAAAATAGATTAATATTTAACCAATAGCATTTGGTTAATATTTAACCAATAGCATTTGGTTA